TGATGAGGAGCAGCCAGCAAACAGCAAAAGTGCCCTAAGTCAAGTTAGTTTGATTATTGGAACATAAAGACCATTAAAAGAGAGAATACTTAACACTTTTAGAGCGAAGAGCAATGAGCCATAAAGTCAAATGACTCCCTCAGCAGCCCGAACAGTAATATCCCAGCTGCTGCACTTTGAAGCAAGAGTCAAACCAGGGTGATTCCAACCCAGGGCAGACAATCAACTTTCCTATTTAATACAAGCACCCCAATTTTGGGCTGATTTTAGGGGACAAGGTGCATGCTGTATGTAAGAAAATACAGTATGTCTTGACAGTATCCCTTGAACAGTCACAAATTAGAAAGTAAATCAACAGATCCAGATATTGTAACAGTAAAGAAGTAACAGTATTCCATAATCACACATTGTTTCTCCCAGTACAGAGCTAAATATACACAGGTGTGTACGTGTGTGTATACGACCAACTAGGGGGTTTATTCAGATATTTCTGTGTTCATTGTGTTCACATTGTTATAATGTTGTATGACTCAGTTTACCTCCTTAGCCTGTGCACAGAGAAGGAAGGGTTAAGTGCCAGGGCTGGCAACATACAGACAGACCTCTAGAATCAGTAGTCTTGAATGGCTGTTGACTTATCAAAAAAGTTGACATGCCAGTAGGTGTCCAGAGGAGATACGTTTGTCAATGGGAGAGGGCTTGGAAAAAAAAAAAAAAAAAAAAAAGCAGCCTGGAAGGTTTGGGGGAGAAGAGTATAGGGACTGAGAGAAGAAAAGGAGATCTGGGGAGCTGGAAAGAATGGAAAGGGAAGAGATTAATATCTTTAGGGGTGCTCAGGGCTTCATGGGCTGAAGAGAGTGCTTAACTCCTTTGGAAAGGACAGACAACCTCTGGCTGGTTGGTCTTTGCCCCAATATCTTTACTGCAGAGACTGTCTGCTGTGCTGCTGGGAACTGTGGGTTACATCAAGTCTCCTCAAGATGATGTGAAGCCTTAGGATTAAGATTTTTCCAACGTGGCAATAAACCTTGAGATACTCAGATATGCACCTGAGGTTGATAAACGGTACAGTATTTAAGCTGAACAGTGCCAGGGAATCCATAATATCAGAACAAAATTTGATAATGCTACATGGTAATTTCAACTGGGAAGTCACGACCCTCTTGGAGAAGTGAACAGAAATATCCTGTTACAAAAAGGGCTGCGTTCCAAGTCTAATGTACTTTGGACAATGAATGCATTTAACTCAGCCTGCTACTGACTACTCAGAAGTTCACTGTTGTGCGTTTAATATCACACCTACTTTAAACAATGCCTTTAAAATGCCCAATATGCTTGGCATACACAACGTGTTACTGGATAATGAGCACGTTCCAGTTTGTTAAAGGAGGTTTTTGTTTGTTTGTTTTTTGAAGTAAAGTTTACCACTTTTCTTCCTTTTGTAATGTTCTGCAGATGAACTGTTTGCAAGAGAGGGGAACTGAAGTAACAGGTACAAGCCAGCTTGAGTGCAGGAAAGTGCCATACAAACTTTCTACAAACAGCCACCTATTCAAACACTCCTCCTGTTCTAATGCTGTGCCTTGCAAGTTGGGAGCCACAAAATGTTTCTTAGCGAAAAGAGAGTAATAATATGTATAATTATGGGGATATATATGCTTGTTGACTCTTCTCGGGTCTAGCATAATATGAAGACACCCATGTGACTCCTGACTATTCTGTCAAAGTTCCTGCCAGGCAGGTACAGAACTTGTCATTAAAAAGGAAAGACCTGGCACTTCCTAATGCTTCTAGGTGTTTTCTTAAGAGGTTAATCAAAATTAAGTTGTCTAGTGTGATAAAATAGGTTCCTCTGGTCTCACACAAAGCTGCGGATGATACTGTTTGCAATAAAGCATTAAGCACAGATCTCTAAGGAATACAGGGTAACCCTTGAATCTTCCTAGGAAAGTAGAACCTTGTCTGTCTGTTTATTGAAAAAACTTCATCCATTTGAAGGCTGATTCTTCTGGTGGTGTTTGTGGCTCCTCAGCTAGCTGTGAGACCCTTCATACTATAAAAGCTTAAACCATGAATCAAATCCAAAGGATCCATGGTCACTTGGAGAGCTGTCTTTTCCCTTAGCTGGTAGCATTTTTCCTTCCTTGCTGTGACAGGAATGGTGGCTCAGGCTGATTGCAGGGCTTCAGCAGGGGCAGGTAACACTTCATTAATCAGAAAAGCAATTCAAAGTTGGGCCTAGTATCTTTATGACCGAAGTCTGTTTCTGTTTACAAGCAGATCTTGGAATATGTTCAGATCTGGTATGGGTATCAGTGCTAGGGTTACTGCTTTGATACAAACAAGAAGCCCTAAGGAGGCAAGGTCAGATGGTGGTGTTTCACCAGTTTCATGTTGGCAGTTGCTGGCACTCTTCCCTGTGTGATCTGGGCATCCATGTTACTGGAGAGTGGCAGTCTTCTTGAAATGCGCCAGGGATGGGCTCCTAAAGAAGATTCCTGGTAATCTGTGTAAGGTCAAAGCAACATACTGTTTCAATAAAGATGCTGGCCAATCCCAGTACAGTTATGGCAAGGCTCTCTGGCCGGATCCAGACATGCAAGCATGCATGGTTTGTGGCATCGCAAACCCCTTTGCAGTACCACCAACTGCAAACATTGCATGTTAAACCATGTGCAGTGCTGCTAATTTGCAGCATTGGGGCAAAATTTGCTACTGTGCTGAGACACCCTGTGCCCCAGCCAGCTCCCCCTACAGCACATGAAACAATGGGACAATGTATCCTGCTGCAAAGTGCATGGGTAGGGGCGTGCACTGTGCCACAAAGTAGCAGCACAAATTCGTGCTACTACTATTTGTGCAGCTGCAAATGCAGCCCCTGCTAGTGTGGACACGGCCTCTAAGTACAAACCCTGGGTATTTCCATGGTATATGGGTGATGGGTTTTCCTTCTAGAAAGAAGAGAAAGTGTGTGTTATGGTGACAGAGAAAAGGAATAGATTTCTCTTAAGAGTTGTTCCAAAGTATATGGTGGTCTTTGTACTGGTAATTATATTAGTACCAGGATTGTTTCCAATTACGTTTGAATTCTTCTAGTGACATATTTCCTGGTACTGCAAGTGACTCTACTGAGTCAACTTTAGATGGCTGCATGGTACTAATTGTCTTTGGAGCTAGTATCAAGTGAGTAGGCAGCTCCTTGCTGCTAGCCCTGGATTTAGTCTGGGGTTTAACAAACTTTTCCTGCAAACTTTCTGTGGCTTTTCTCTCAGTGATGCCATTGAGCTGTGCCTTGAATCCCTACCTTTATGCTTTTTCCTCTTCCAGTGCTAGTAGTTTTTGCGGTGGCATTGCCAACTTCTCTACTTGTTCTGTTTAAGGTTCTGGTCTTGACACTGCATTTTGGCTGGCAGACAATTATTTTTGGTATGTGTCTGAAGAAATGAACAACTTCGGGTCTGAAAAAACTAACAACTTTAATGAATCTTAAGATGAAGACTGGTGACTGGTAAAAACTTGTGACTGGTAAACACCTGAAGAAAACAACTAGCATACCAAGTGCCTGTCAGATATGTGACTCATACCCAAACAGGAAAAGCATCTGTTATACTCACTCATTAACAGCCTGTTGCAAGGAGGAGAAGGCTTGCAGCTTGAAGGGCTGCTATGAAGCAAGAACAGTTAGTAGTCCTGTTTAGGAGTGTCTGTACAGGTTGGGAGGTAACAGAACCTGTATGGAGGGGTCTGTATAGGGACTGCAGACAGAAGTGCAGCTCCCTGCAGTAACTCACACCGCTCTCCAGGAAGCCTTCTCAGTTACAATGATCCCCTGGAACAAACAGTTCACTGTTGGTTCCAGGGGGGGAGCAGACTCTAGCTGCTGGCTGCAGCCTGCAGCTGGCTTCCCCAAGCAATGAGGCTGCAAAATTTGCAAAATAGGAGGGAGGGAGGAAAGGGGGAGGGAGGAAAGGGAGCAGAGGGAGCTCGTTCTAGAGGTTCTCCAGTCCATGCTGGAGGTTTGAGTGGGTGAATTGGAGCCCCTCCCCCAACCTTGGAGAAGTTCCAATACACCCACCCCACCCTCCAGCAGGGACTGAAACCCCCACCCTGACCAAACTCCCTCCACTCCTTTTCCCCACTCCCATTATGTAAACAGTGACAGACTGGCAGGCAGCACAGACAGAAGTTACAGAAGATGCTCTGTTTTGAAACATCTTAATTTGACCCCTTCATGTAATGACGGATCAGATTTTTACCTGATTGGCATTTCTTGAAGCTGTATTCAGCCATACACTTGTGTGGCTACATTGAGTCAAAATTGTCACGTCTGTATGCGCCCAGGGAGAACAAGTTCAAATAGACTGAATTTGTGTAACTTCCTACCAGTGTGCTAGGAAGATTTCTGAGCTAGAGGACTGAATTTATTACTTAGTAGATTGTGTCTTGCTGCCATGGGTAGCAAAAGGAGAGTGTGGGAAGGCTCTAGCCACTATGCCTTTTATGTCCTCTTATGGGAGCACACAGGGCAGTTGCATACTTCTAGTGACATGACATGCACACGCACGTCCCATGTGTTTAAGAAGATCATAATGGGATCTGCACTCTCACCTGCTACACAATGCTATAATATAAATGTAAACCCATGCACTTTATTATTAGTGCCACATTATCTGATGCCCACTTGAAGAAGCGAGCCTTATACTTTTGCAAAACATATCTCCCCCAACATTACTGATAGCAAATAATATACTAAACTTGAGCTGTTCTAAAAGAACATTAAAAAAGCAAATCAGAATTCAGCAAATACAAAACATAATCAAGCTATCAGAGTATCTGGGCATGTGTGGTCTGGCCTGCTCTAATATTGCAAATCCACAAGTCAAGAAATCAATCTTTTTATTCCCCCTGTGAATCAGTCTCTGTTTCAAGACAGCTACTTGCTGCAGACAACTGGTTAGGGAATGAATTGTATAACATAATATTTTCAATAAAGCTCTTACATATTCAACAGGCCTGAGGGACTTGATTGTAGCAGCAGTTGGGCAGCCACAGGAAGTGAGGTCAGTGTAGAGGCCTTCTTCCAGCACACAGCAATTATCAGTGGTTTCCCCTTGGTAATGCAGGAGCCAGCTGAAGGAATAAATGTAACAGCATTTGACTGCTTCAGCCAATTGTCAATATTTTTTAAGGTTTATACTTTGTAGGAGAATTACAAATCGAACAGTTTTTTTTTTTTAAAAGGTGCTAATAAAATTAAGCAAATCCTAAGACTGGTTGAGCAGCCAAAGCAGAAAATCATGGTATAAAAATACCAATGACTGCACCAAAGAGTTAATGGAATGCAATTAACTTTACTGAATGGTTGATAAACTTGCAAGACAGTGGGTATACAAGAAAGCAAGATGGCAATGTGACAGATGCATCTGGCTACTTGAAATTTAATGCTGATTTAAAAAAAAAAAAGTGCTACTACTTAAAAATGGTGGTGACTAAAACAACACACTTACCATCCCCGAAGAACCTTAAAAGAACATGGCATGAATGATGTAAAATCAGAAACTTCTGCTGTGAAATCTATACATGCTCCTTGGAAATGTGTGCAACTGAAAGCTTTGAGCTACGAGAACAAACAAAACAAAACAAAACCAAACAATGACTGTAAAGCAAATGTACTCATTTTTATTACTGTAAGTAGAGGCAACAGAAGTCACAGGGAAATCTCAGTTCAAGTTACAGAAATACTACAAATCCAATGGACTCTCCAGAAAACAAGTATCTTCAATTTATTTGGGACTTTTTTCTCAAGAAAGAAACCCAAAGTGTTTTACGAATTATGGGCTAGGTTGCAATCCTCCTACCAGTGGCGATGCGAAGGAGGTACACATGTACCCCCTGAGAGCGCTGGTGCATGCCCTGACAGCAGTGTTCGCTGCTTAGGCAATAGGCCGGCGGAAACGCTGGTGCCCCCCCCTGCAAGTGCCGGCTGATTGCTACGCTCGCTGCTGCCACTTTCGGTGGTTGTGGCTACTTCTGGGAGTGGCTCCAGCGACAGGCCAGTGCTTGCTCCCAGAAGCGGCCGCAGCCACTCCCGGAAGTGGCTGCAGCGAGCACAGCGATTGGCCGTGGTGATTGGCCGTTGTGGGACCGCCCAGGGGAGCCTCCCCTCCTCCAGACTGCAGGATTGCCTGCGGGGGACCCCCGCCCACCCTGCTTGGTGGGACTGGTCACAGGGGGGGCACATGACCCCCCCGACTAAGGTGGCACAAGTCGCCCATGCCTCCCACTGATGTCAGTGGCAGCGGTAACACATGTACATCCAGCCGAAACAAGACTACTGCTACAGAAAGGGATCATGAGACTGAAAGATTTTGCCCACACTGAGCTTGGTAGAGCTCAGCACAAGAAAGGGAAAGGAAATATTCATCAAAACATACCAGGCCAGAAAGTGCCATGAGATTTTCTGTAACTATACTGGACAGACAGAATTTAAAAGCTAGGTTGTGAAATTCTGGGAGGACTAGATGTGGCATGAACTCATGAAGTCCAACCCAATACCTTTCTATATACAGAAATTCTTAGCAAAGCATGTTGCAGTGACATAGAATTATAATCTGGCAGCAAATTGGGTGTATGATACTGCCCACTAAAAATCAAAGAATGCTGCATTAAAAAAAAAGTAAGAACAAAGTGTTGAATAGGACACAGCCCATAATGATGAAGAGCTTGAGAATTGTATCATGTGCTACCAAAGCAAACTTTCACTTAAAGACAGAGATGGGAAGAAAGATAAGTGTACCAATATAACATAGCGTTTCAGATTCTGTAGCATACAAGGAAAACACATACTATTGCCAAGGCTACCCTCTTCTTCATGCCCCAACTTGGTTAATTTTCTGACAAAGAAAAGAAATGCAATCTGCTTTGCCAACATAGGGCGTGTGCAGGCAAGCCCGCACGTGCCTCTTCCCGCATCTCAAAGCAGTTTGAGACGTGGGAACAAAAAGACGTTCCCTGCACTGCATATTTGCAGCACAGGCTCAAAATTAGATACCTGGATATCCAGGTATCAAAAAAACAAAAGAAACCCGCAGAAAAAAAATGGGGCAGGACATGGTCCAGGACTGTGCCCTGAGGCAACCGGAGGCTCGGGTCCTCCAAAGAGATGCTCTGGTAGCCAGCCAGAGCACCTCTATGGCTGCCCCTTGCCCTGGCACTACAGCACATGCGGGTCAAGGAGCAGTGCAGGCTGCAGCAACTGGGACCCGGGCTCCATCCCCAGCTATGCAGGGACTGGGGGCTGGGGGGGACTGGAGCTGGGGATGAGTGGGTGCAGGGGACTGTGAAGGGGGGCTGCAAGGGAGGGGTGGGTCCCCCACCAGTCCCCTGCAAGGCCCACAGCCCCTCCCCCTGCAGCCACAGTAGCCAGCGGGGCACTCAGGACCCTCCTGGCACAGGTCTCTGCATGGTGTGGGGCAGCATGGCTCAGCCTTGGCTGCCTGGTACCCGGCACTGCCTGTACCACATTGCGTGGGTCTGACCTGGCTCAGCGTGGGACCGTGTGCCTTCGGACAGCTCCGGGCCACTCAGGCTGTCACCTGGGGCCCCATGATGCTTGCAGGGACTGCATGTTGCGCTGGGCTGGTTCCTGCATGCACAGAACTGGCCTGGCGCAATGGCGTGCGGGACCTGTGGCACACGGGGGCTGTGCCAGGAGGCTGCTGCTGCAGAGGTGAACTGCGGGCCTTGTGGGGGAGCATCTGGGCCCTGTGGCCCCCCCTTGAGCAGCCCACCCACACAGCACGCCCCACCCACAGTCTACCACCCCCAGGCCACCCCCACAAACCCATCACCCACATACCTGGCCCTGTGGGTCAGGAGTGAGAGGACTGAGACAGGGGGCAGGCTGTGGGTTGAGAGTGAGGGGCAGGGCAGGGGCAGGGCACTGGCATATCAGTGGTGCTCAGCAGTACACACCCTGGTAAGTGAAGGGAGTAGGGTCAGCTCTGATTTTTCTGACAAAAAATCCAAAAGTAAATGTCAAAGTGTATAGATATTTAGAATTTATTTTATTATGATGACAGAGACACTGGTAAGCTTCCAAGTCACTTTAAACTTGTAAATATATCAACAGAACATTGCCCGATCATTCTCTCTCTAGATCAGGGGCAGGCAATTATTTCAGGTGGAGGGCCGCTTACCCAGTTTTGGCAGGCTGTCAAGGGCCACATGGGTAGCCCTGCCCCTTGACAGGTGCCCTGCCCCCTGGTCACCATCTTGGGATCAATGTCCCAATGTTTTGGGCCCAGTGTCCCAGGGCCAGCACCGGTGGGGCCCAAAGCAGGGCACAGGTTGGCAGGGGTCTGTGGAGCCGGGCCGGACTGCACCAGCAGGGAGAGGAAGGAGCTGGCCACTTTTCCCCAGGCTCCTTCCCTGCCCAGGGCCCCCCCCTTACCTGAGTTTCTGGTGCAGGGCAGCCATGTGGTCCCAGGCCAGAAGCCCTTGCTGGGGCTTCTGGCTGGGGGGGGCAGGGGGGGGGGGGGGCCGGTGGGAGCCCACCGGCCTTTCCCTGGGTCCTACTGCCCTTGGTTCCTGTCATTTTTGACAGGAACCAAGGGCAGATGAATATTAATTTTCTAAATTTTTTAGGGGCCTCGCGGGCCAGATTTCTCCCATACCTGCTCTATATAGTGGCATTTCATTTTAATAGTGAAAGAACACAATTTTGGATATTTTAATGAGATAATTTGGGTTTCTTATCAGAGAATTTGCAAGTTTTAAACAGGAAACACTAGGATCTCTGCTGGTGAGAAAAGTGGTGACATTCAAGAGCAGAGGAGCCCGTCCAGGGCCAGCACTGGGGACCCAGCTGGAGGGCAGATGAGGTGGCTGACCTCTTGGCCATTTGGGGCAAAGAATACACACTTGGACAGTTCAAAGTGGGCCACTGCAAGGTGCACATCAGGGCGATAGCTGCCCAGATGGCAGAGTGGGGGCACCTCATCTGGGTCTGGCAGGCGTGCAGCCATAGGGTTGCAGGTCCAAGGGGGTGGATGCTGTTGAAGGTGGCAGCAGGTCACAGCTAGGCAGCAGACTGCTGCAGCTGGTAGAGGGGGCAGGGACCATTCCAGGTTAGGGCTGCTTCAGCAGTCCAGTTGGCACAAGGGGTAGTGTCCCCAGATACCAACTGGCTGGGCCTCTAGCAGGTTGTTATACTGCTGGGGCCAGCACAGGTGCTGGCCCCAGGCTCTCGGTCCCTCTGGATCCAGATCTGGGAGGAGCCAGGCAGGGTTATTTTGCCCTAAGTGGCACAACTTGGTCCACACCAAAGTGCATGTCTGGGCACATGTGCGGAGGCAAAAATCCCTGGCTCAAATTGGTGCTGCTTCTATTTGAGCTGCTACAAGTGCATGTGCCTGCATGTGTGGATGTACCCATAGAGTGAAAAAGTCAAACACAAGCATTAGAAAAGGATATTATGGAAAATCTAAGTTTATGTTTTTAAAAGAAACTAATATATTTCCTGTTAGAAAGAACAAGAGAAGCTTAATTTTGTCCTTAAATGAAAACCGTGAATTGGGGAAAACAAGCCAGCTACCTGTGATGAAAACACTGAGGCTGATATTCCTATTAATGTAAAGGCATTACTGAGCCATAAAACTGATATTTAGGCTATAATTTGCCTTTTATTTATCCATAGATTTCAAAGCATTTAAGACAGGGAAGGCAAATATTTTCTCCATTTTATCAATGCATAAATTGAAGCACAAAGAAAAATATGCTTGCCCAAACCCATACAGTAAGTCAGTGACAAATTTAAGAAAAGAACTTGAGTCCAATAGCCCCTTGAGAGTCATTTCCTCCACCCTGCCATGCATGCTCTGTATTGTGACATCTTTGAAAAGATTATGGTAGTGAAGATCATATATTTTAAATAATAAACTCAGGAAAAAGCTGCTTTTTCCCCTAAGAAAAAGAGTAGAAGAGGAGAGATGTCATGGTTTTCACTTCAGAAAATTTATAAAAGTGTTAACCAGTGCATCTGTGCAGTCTGTCCACAGCTACAACAGTCTAGAAAATAACATATCCTAAATCTGATTAAACAGAGTACAAACAAACAAGAAACAACAAAACCAAACCTCTTTTAACTCCAGCTGGGTTAAAGATTCTCTAACTCTGATGCCACTTTTTGAAGATCCAAATTAAGCAACTGCTGCAAACATGAATACTGTTACTATTTTTTCTGGCAGATGAGAGTAAAGTTACTGATATTTTTGTCTCAAATACTGCCTTTGACTTACTCTCAGTTGTTAAGTGATCTTAGAAAGTTTCTCACAACCCCTTTGTCATTGTGAAGTATGGTATTTTTAAAGAAATAACTTCTAACAATAGGAACGCAGCAGTCACTTGCACTCTTCCTTCATTAGGTTGCAACAACCTAAACCTGATCAAATTAACCCTTCAAATTAACACATGCAGGATCTTTCTGTGGAAAAAAGCAATGTAACAAGCAACACTGTACATAGTTCAAGTTATACTATAAAGGATTTCCTTGTGTTCTGACAAAAACAAGAGGTGGAACAGGCACTCATTACTGTTGATGGGTGCACCTCCAATAGTTTGAGTGGAACCCCAAAATACAAATATTTGTAATTATCTGTTTGAATCTTAGGGGTGTGCAAGATTATCTGAAACTATCATGAGAACATCCTCTGAGATGGTCTGAAAACTGGAGTGGAGGATAAGAGGGAAAAAAACCTGCACTGTCTGGGACCTCTGGAGAAAGTGTGGATCAATATTTATTTTATTCAGAGTCACTGATTTATTCTGAAACAGTTTACCAAGCCCTTTGTGAAAGTATCTGCAAGTCTTCAGACCTGGCTGCAAACTGTTGTATGAACAGAGCTAGCAGGAAACTGAAATTTGAGATTAAAATAATATACCAATTATGTCTTTAAGACTGGAAACGTTTCCTGAAAGCCTGAGTTAATCATCAAATTTTAGAAGCTGAATGTAAAGTAAAGAAAGGGTCTGGTCAAGCTATCTTCAGTAATGCAATTTGTACATCTTCCATGTGCCTGTATACAACACAAATCTGTACAATAAGCAAAAGAGATAGAAAATTATATTCAAATGACAGAATTGTTAAGTTAAATGAAACTAGATCGTTCTATTTTCAGGGCTTTTTTTTTTTAAAAAAAACCCAAAAAACATTTTTGCTTTACATGAGGTTTTCTAAATTTTTCTCTATTAAACGTGTATTGAAGAGTGAGAGAAAATTCCACTGGATCACCTCTCATATCAGCACTGGATCCCAGGTCCCCATGAAAGAAGAGAGAAAAGAAGTCAAACTGAAAATAAAGGATTGAGATGGGGCCTGCTAGAAGAAAACACTGCAGCAGGCAAGACTTGCATTTGATGAACACATATATGCATAACAGTTTCTATATTTAGGAAATCTGGATACACACGTTATTATGGATGTAACACTGCCTTACAAAACCAATGAAACTGGAACTAATCTGTTCTGTACAACCTGAACACTCTACAAGAAACCTTCCTAACAAACAAGTTCTGTCACTGGATTTCACAAGTCTTGTTTTAGTTTATGAGAATGTACAACGCTGCTTTCCATCACTTGCATGTGCTCAGTCAAGATCAGTAAAGGGAGCTCAGGGTTGGCTGGGAACGGTGGCTCTAGCTAAGGAGCAGTTGTTATTCCATCCCATAGAAAAGAGACACACAAAACGGAGTCTTGCCAAAGCACAAAGTTTTAAAAAATAACAGCATGTAGGAAAAGAGATGGCAGAAAGATAACAAGTACATAAATAAAGTCAAGGTTTCATAATTCTGTACTTTACATACTGACAAAGGGAGGAAGGAAGGTTAGGAAAATAAATGACAGCCAAGATGTAAAGCGATCCCAAACCACTTGATCTGGCACATTTAAGTCAGGAAAAAAAAAAAGAAGTATGATCTGAAACAACACAATGAATAAAATCTTTGGCAAACTTAACCTCCAAGCACATAAAGGCTTCCTCATGAAAGCGACCACGCTACAACAGGAAAATAGCACTGAAGCTATTATTTGAGGCAACAAAGGTGGAAAATTCAATATTAACTGTGTTTCCTTTTAAATGCAGTTCAGTACTAGAAATGGTGTTATTAAATTGCAAACATACCAAATGTGGAGGCTCATTCTTTCCAAACGGTTCCTGCAGCAGAAAAATAACATAAATAATTAAATTATAATTACTCTCTCAACAGGTAGTAAAATCTTTGAAATAACACTTTTCTAATTTAAGAATTGTGGAGCCAGTGTGTACTGGACTGCATCTTACTGAATGCCCCTGGGCTTCCAGAAGCCTCCCTTGTTTATGCATAAAACTTGTATTAATACAACTCACTGCTTAGAAACTAATTTTAAAAAGCAAGTGGACTCCTGTTGTGTGGACTCTTTTAAATGTATTTCAGAGCACTTAATTCCTTAGCCAGAGAATTTGAGGAAACAGAGGGAAGGACCTAACCTCTCACAATGCAATGTAGTCCAACGACATAAGATTAAACATGCTTTGTTTCCTTTCTAGTTTTTTGTGCTGTAGATGCTGTGTGACTTATGACCTGGAGAATAGTGCTATTTCTTTTATACCAGGGTTTTAAGAGACCTAAAGTTAAACTTTTTGGGCAAGTTGACTTTTTTTTTCCTAGACTGAATACTTAAATTTTAAAACAGGAACTAGAGAGGGAGAAAATGTATTACATTTCAGTTACAGCAGGTAATAAGAATACAGAAAAGCTAAGTGGTCATGGATTTTTAAACACTTTACCAATAAAGCAAAAGGTATGTTTTTGTATTTTAGGTAAGATTCATGGAGTTTCCATGGCAATTTTTTTTTTTAGGGGGAAGGGGAGGGGCTGTTGAGAGAAAATTTGCTTTTTAAAACTAGCAGAAGTTTCACAGAATGATGGAAAAGTGGGGCTGGAAAGGACCTCTGGAGATCATCTAGTAATCAAACCCCCTGCCTGAGGCAGGATCATCCATATCCATACCATTCCATACAAATCCTTTTCTAGCCTATTACTAAAACTACCCAATCAACCCTGTCATATAACTAGAAAGCATTGTATTTTGACCCACCATCATTTTCCATAATGAGATTATTTGTGTTCCATTGCTTTTTCTAATTTTGCTTCATTTGAATAGACAAGTTAGTTTTGGCCAGTTGCCTGCATCAGAAAAAGATTGCATCTCCAGAGTTACAAGTGACTAATTTGTTTCAGACTTCTCTTTCTGATGAATTATGAAAACTCACCAATTTAATTGGACGTATTGACAATATGGTTTTACTGGATCCTCCCCAGTCAAAAAAGCATTTATATTTTCCTTTTTCCAGTACATACTGCTCTCCACAAAAATACTTCTGCTGGTATGCAACCCACCTGGAGAGTGACAGACAAAAAAACCTGATATATGCATTTTTCAGTACAGTTCTAAGAAAATATTAGCTGCGAGATGATATTAAAGAGAAAGCTTTTCAAAAGTTTTAAAATGCTTCACCTGTCTGTGCAATGAGAAATTAAACAGATGGCAAAATACATGTTTTGTGGTAAGAGGCATGATTCACACAAATAGAACATGCCTGTTTTTATGACAGATCTTCGCAACAGCCTCTCATCTCTTACACTCTCATTCCTCTCAGATAATTTCTCAGCATCCATCATATGACCTACTGGTTGGAAGCAATGAGGATATGTATTTACCTAATGGATAGTTGATTAGCTCCTTGATCCCTCCACCTTTACCTGCTTACCCACCTCCTAAAGAGGGTTTCCCATCTGTTCTTCCTATTGGATTATAGAAAAGTGGCATAGAAAGAAAATGGGAAATAAACAAGGAAGCCTTGACAGGAAAAGATAAGAGAGACTCTTGCCATGATTGGCATTTCAGCCCCACTTCTCCCCTGGCCTTTTGTTTTCAAATCTAAGTGTTCAGAAAATATTTATAGTGGATTCTTAATGAGAACTTGACACAAAGAGAATGTGCTCACATTACTGATGATGTCCACATTTACAGAAACCAGCTCTTTCTTTATTACTGTTTTTAAATACATTTATTTTATTTCTGCATTTGTTTGCATTTTCTGCATTGATAGAGAACTGGTGATACAGCCCTGCAGACGAGAAATCAGAGAATAAACAGGAAGGGGAGGAAACCCTTCAAAGAGAAATAAATGAGTATCAAGCTATCAAGAAGTGGCTGTAACCATACAAATGGTTGATGAACCCCAGAAGGAGCTGCCCCTGCTTGAGAAGAACTTGCTGCAACTTGTGATTCAAGGAAGTGGAAGAAATGTAAGGGGAAATGAGAAGAGCCTCAGACTATGATGGGTAGGGTGAGGGGCATATTGAAAAAGCTCTTAAATAAAACAGATCAAAAGCATAATTCCAAAGAATCCTTTACAAAAATCTAGAAATTAACCAGGAGTTCAAACTATACTATTCTATTCAGGTTCGCTTGCTGCCCTCATCAATGGAGTGCTTCTGCACCTTCCAGAAGGGCATTAAGCACCATAGATAGCATATGCTGTATGTGTATTTTTGTTTCTCTTTCTCTGTACCTAGAGGGAATTGAAACTTTAAAAAAATATTAATTTATTAAAAGTTTGCTACTGTGTACACTTATCAACACCACATGAACAAATGTGTGCTTCCTCGGAGTGGCAGAAAACGAGACTCCCTGGTGCTTCTTAGAAAGTTGCAGATTTCTAAGTTATTAGCACAGTTTGTGGTAGGTTTTAGCAAATCTGGCAGCCCTTTTTAGTACAAGTTAGGTACAATTATGTTATACGAATAAAAGTTGCAGGATCAAATTTTAAAACTACAGTGCTGCTATATGATTGTGTTATCTCTATTCATCTTGCTGCTCTGGAAGATTGGGTAGACTTTAGTAATATTTGGAATCCATCCATATAGCCTTCTTTAATGTACCACAAGTGTGGCTACTGAATGGTGCGCAGCTTCTTCTCTACTTCTAAATACATTACCTTTAGCTCCTCTTGTTTTTAGTCTCAACCTACAATTAGATCCATTCAGACAGACCTCTTTACTTACTGAACCTGAGTGATGCCAATGGGCTCCATGGAAGGCAGAGGTGCACTCATCTGGATCTAGGTGCAAGACTCAAATGCTAGGTGGGCGGAGAAGAAAGAGTGACCGGGAACTGAAAACTGAATCCAGCTATCAACTTTGTCCAACGTTTTATGGGAGTAGTAAGGCAGTGACAAGTTGCTGCCAAAAGAGGTAAATTCACAAAGATCCCTGCAGAACATATAGTGTACCTACTTCCTTCTTCCTCACCACCCCGCATCATGCCACCAAAGCAAAGCAGAAACACAAGCTACAGAGTGGACAAAACCTGTTCCATTTTTGTAAGCAAATAAAAGAAAAAACACTTTCCGTCTCAAAACGTTTATCTGTTTCTTTCCACCATTTAAACTATACAATGTCAAAAGAAGAAACAATTGAAAAACAATGTGCCCAGGCAAATCATTTAATCCTTCCATTGAAAAAGCAATTCATATAGGTTTGTAATAGACTTACACTCCACTTTTCACATGAATTGATCTGGTCTCTGGTCCAAATCCAGCCTGTTCCAAATCAGGAAATTCTTGATTGAAAATGTTCAATACCTTTCCATCTTCTTCATCAGACTCAAAAATTGTAACTGATGACTCTATGAAATCCTAAGAGACAACACTGAAAGTTAGGATAAATATTTTAACAGATTACAACAGTTTGTTATGTATAATAGCTAAGAATTCGATGGGATTCTCCACAATTTAAAGTGTAACCACATTCAAGGTAGAGATTTTCTATGGTTAGAGGCAGTGGGGTCCGACAAGGGCTATTTTTGCCAATATAAATGAGGCAAGATGAATCTAAAATAACATTAGAGGTAATAAGTGTATCTTAGGAGTAACAATTTTAAAAGCACCTTATGACTTAAGAGAATAGACCAAAAAAGAGATCAAACTGTAGCAAGCTAAGAGAGAGTGGGGACTTAGTCTAGAGAAACTAATGCATGGTAACTGTCCATCTGCTCACTTTTACCCCGCAAATAAGTGAAAGCTAAGCTGGGCCAAGTATGTCTTGTTGCAGTGGTATAAGAGCAGTTACAGGCAGTAGCAGAAAATCTCATCCCCTTGTAACTTAATGCGACTCAATTGTTTGTCCCTAATCTTATCAAAAGTTCTGCACACAAGGATCTCACAACAGAAAGGGAGACTCAGCTACCTCCCCTTAGATGGAAATGAAGTCTCTTTGGGGTCCAGGATGCATGCACGAGGCACAGCACAAGTGATCTATCTTGATGCTGAGTTAACTTCTCCTTCTACGCCACGTCCTGCCTCACAGTCAGAGGGAAGTCTCCTGTGCAGGTAGTTTCTTTTCTATGTTAAACATCACCCAGTACAATGATCTGGGGAAGGGACCCCCAAAGCATGGCCTTTTTAGGTCCTACCATAATGGAAGTGTGTACTACAATAATAATATGGGGAAAATATTTGACCATGGGAGTCCTGTAATGGACTCCTTCCCCCTCATCACTCCAAGTTCTCTCTGTAGGGCTGGGTGAAATAGGCCTGAGTATATATTTCCTTAGACATGTTACTGATGCAGCCTCAGATATTTCAATCAAAATCAGTTTTACAATAGCCCATTACTTAAACCATTTTGACAGTTTACCCTTGGAACTCTACTGTTATTACTAAATATTTATATTTCAGAAGCCCTCAGATGACCTCATCAGGACCTGTTGTCACGAGGCACGAAACAAAGGGAATGAGATGCATACCTTCCCCTAAAGCTAAGTACAGACAGTCAAAAAGCCCATGGCCAAATGGATTGTCTTCACAGGTTAGACTACCCTGTGTAGATTGAATCGATAAGCAAGTGAAGACATTCACTTTTGATTCCAGAAATTCAGCCACGTGCCTGCAGGGCCCAGGACAGAAGCTTGGAGGAGGGGGGCTGGAACAGATAGCTTGGGCCAAAGCTAGCCCACCTACCCTGCAAGGGGATAGGGGGAGTTGTGGGGGAGGTGCAAAGCATCCTGGGATGCAAGGACACTGTGAGTTAACTTGAATCTGGAGGGAATCTGGGACAGAAGTTCAATAAAGCAATTTAACCTAAATCAGTTAAGTCTGATACTCCATCCATCCAGATTCATCTTAAACTGGTTTTGGCCATTTTGAAAGCAGCTTACATGCACTGAACTTCTGCTGTGTTACAGATTTGAACCGGTTTCTGATCACTTATACTGGTTTACGTGTAATTTCTGTCCCTAGCTTAAAGGGTTACATACTAAGGCCATGATTCATGCAGCCAGAGCCATGTGAACAGATTCTTGCATGCCTCAGCTGCTTTGCTGACTTTTACGCCCCCAGGTAAGTGGGAGCTATCCTGCTATCCTTACTTATTGTAGCATGTAATGAATTTGGGTTGCATCTGAGGGGTCACTTGCAGAATCAGGTCTTAATATGGCCCAGGATTGCTGCCCTGAGTAGAGCAAACTAAAAAACAACAATGCCAAATCTTGGGGTAGAACTATTTTCCTATTCTTCTCACAGTTTCAAGCATTTAAAACAGCTGAAGTTATGACAGCTATCATGGGGTGCACCTGTAGGCAGTGATTAATTGGTGGTGGTGGTGGGGGGGACACACATTATTTATCATGCATAGGGATTTTCTCTGAATTTATTTAACTACTGTTTGGTCCCTATTGACAGCTAACAGTAAGCTATGTTGAGTTTTATCAGTCATATGCTTGTATGAACCATGGTATTGGGCATGAACGTATCTGCATTTTTGTGATCCGACTAAAATCAAAAGATTGTCAGGAGCACTTCTTACTAGACACAAACTATTTCCATACCAAAGTTTTGGTATGCACATCTGTCAGATGGGGGAGAAGCAAGACTGAGCGTGTACACAGAACAGAGGGTGTAGGAAACAATGGCTATGACTGAATACAATTCTAAGCAAAAACACATGAGATGCATGTTAATGGAGACCCCCATGCTCCCCATTCAGGTCCCAAGTGAGAAGGAAATCACATACAGAGACTGAGATCTCGGTCTCTCTTGACTAGAATATATAATAGCTGAGGTTTACATGAATACTGCTGTCCTCCTTGAATATACCAAAGAACAGCAAGAACATTAATTTGTCAGCTAGATGTCTACGTTGGAAGGAAATTGTGAAGGATGTACATTTTTTAAACAGATTTTTGTCCTTCTTGAATAGATGGGAAGATAATGATAAGGGATTTAAAAAAAACCTTTTGAGAAGAAAGGTTGTCTGAATATCACAGTGTCTAGTGGAAGATTCTAGCCCTCAGCAAATGAAGTGGGTAACGATTTAGGACAGGGGTTAGCAATCCTGGCACACATGCCAGAGCATGGCATGTGAGGACAAATTGCTTAGCCTGTCAGAAAGCACCATGGGGCAGTTGGCAGGGGAGCTGGGAGGGGCCAAATCCTTGTGGAAGCACAGCCCCAGCTCCTTCCCCACTGTCTACCCCAAGGGGAGTGTGTAGCCACCGCTGGCAACAGGCTGGACTGAGGCTCCACAGACCGTGGTGCAGCTGCTTGCAGCCTCCCTGCCACCTGCTGTGCACAGCGTGGGCTCTGTGGCAGGTGGCAGGGGCTTGCCCAGAGCCTGGACTGGCAGTTGCAGGCAGCCAGGAGGCTGCAAGTGGTTGCACTGGGATCTGTGGATCCCTGGCCTGGCTTGTTGCCAGCGGCAGGTACACACATGCCTTGGGGTGGATGGCAGGGAAGGGACTGGGGTTGCACTGCCACGAAAAGAATCAGGCCCCTTACAGCTTCCCTGCCATACTAGGTACTAGATCCCCCTCCCCTCCTTCTTGCTCCTCCCTCCTGCCCTGCCACCTTCAGGGGCACCAAGCTGCTCCCTTTCCCTCCTTCACCGTTGGACTGCTCCCTGCCCTGTGCTAAATGATAATTGGTAAGTACAAGCTCCTCCCCAGCCCTCCCCCCGCCATTTATTTTGCCTAGCATGCTAATCTCTTACAAGAAGATGCTGCAGGTTTTTTGGCACTCTGCCCAAAAACGTTGCCGACCCCTGATCTAGGAAAAGCTGGCAGGAATACTAGCTACTGGAAACACAGACAGAACTCTTAAAGAATTTGTTTTAAGTTAGAGAACGGGGTGAGATATATCTGTTTTGTTTTTGCCTGTTTACATCCAAAGTTAAGAGTTCTTATTTTGTGTTCTATCAATCCTATGTAATAAACTTTATTTTAGTTTTATATCTCTGCAAGACACGCTAGAAAATCCGGTTGTCGCACCAGACGACAAGGCTAACCTATTTAACCATTTCTTTGCCTCCATTTTCCCGAGCAGGGACCAGATCAGACCGTCCGCCGGGACCCCCTCGGGCCCCGGGGGAGGCGCACCCAGGCCTAGGTCAGTGAGGATCCAGTCAGGGAACTTCTGGAGGGACTGGACGTATTTAAATCAGCAGGTCCTGACGACCTCCACCCCAGAGTGCTGAGGAAATTAGCAGAGGTCATTGCGGGACCCCTGGCGCAGCTTTACGAGCACTTGTGGTGCTCTGGTGTGGTGCCAGAGGACTGGAAAAGGGCCAATGTGGTTCCCATTTTCAAAAAAGGGAGGAAGGAGGACCCAGG